ATATATAAAAGTTACCATGAGTATTTTTTGTGTATATTCAAACCATTCTGAGAAAAAATTTCGTATCAGTCCATAATTGGTCATAGCTCTTATAAAAGGTTCACTTCCTTAAGTCGCTTTATGCCATATATTTCATTAATTTTGTATATCACCAAATACAAAGCGTTACAACCAAAAAAATTTAAATCGACTTTTTTATTGGAAATGATCCACTGCATCAAAATACATGCCGACTTCCTACTATGACGCGTACAAGTTCAACACTTGGGATGAATCGGAATTTCAGCACAGCTACCCCGAACTGCAGGGTTATATATAAATGCAATACAAGGTGAAATAATAATTATTAGAAATAAAGTGTATTGTATTTAATTGTTATGTATTGTATATACATATACCTATTGGTATTGTTTAGTTTTGCATTGTGTTGTAAAGAATTCACTACGCGAGTGGCAGCTTTAAATGTCTAGGATGTCCTTATTATTACAAAATAACAATGTATTTATCTACTAGTCCTACCCTTCAAAATTAAAAAAAGATGTACATTAGAGGTGTCCAAAAAATATATATTTTGTTGGGATGGGCCTTATTCTGTTCATTAGTGTCTAAAACAAAATGGTTTTAAATTTTATTCCAATCGGATAACGGGAACCGGTTCGGAAATTGATAGAAAAGTGTAAAATTATCTATCCAAAGAGTTACAAAAGATTTATGTATGTATATCAAAGGGAAACAAAATAGTTATTGACAATTTCCCAAAACCATATATTTTAAAAACTAATGCATTTTGGTCTTTGTTTTGCATGCAGAAAAAACTAGTAAAATATGAATTAATTACTCGTTTTTGCAATATACATATTTGTGAAAAGAAAATGTCTATATTGTTATTTCTCGCCTGATGATAATATTTTATACCTTGTTGGAAAGATAATTTTAAAGATTTGGTTAAAATGTTAAGAATATATAATTTTAAGGGTACAATTTTTAAAGAAATTAAAAGAAGTCATATTATTTACCCAATTTTACACTTTTCAATGGATTTTCGACACGGGTTACCGTTATCTGATTTGGCTAAAATTTTACACCAGTTAATTTTAGACACTAAAGAACAAAATGAGACTTATCCAAGCAAAATGCATATATTTTGGAACGTCTAATGTACAAACAATATGGAAATAATTAGAAAATTATTATATATTCATTTTCATAATATAAATTTTATAGATGATTATAGTTCAGGGGATAAAATGTTTGACACAGTGTTCAGGAATAGTGTATTGGAATAAATGGATTCTAAAAACAAAAGAATCTTTGACCGAAAAAAAAGGTTTTGTGCAAAAAGCCTTTTGAATACTACGACACACTGGAAAGTATCATAGTGTCAGTGGTCGTTATAACACTTTCAAAATTGTCATAACTAACAAGTTTTTTACGGGCAGGTCTAATAATCTATCTTCTTCGGACTTATACAAGCATCAGTCAGTTATGACTGTAAATGTCATACGGCAACTATTATCATCAAATAGAAACATAAAATAGCAACAATCGCATAAATTCAACAATTGTTAGCCAAAATAAAAACAAGAAGGAAAACACTCACCCTTTGTGTTTTTAATTTTGAACACTATAAAAAAGAACAATTGTCAATATTACTTGTGTGCTCTCCAGAATGTAAATGAACCCTGCAGTTTTAGGAGTAGTCAGTGTATCCATTTGATAATTTCTTTTAAATATGTATCTCATTACTTAGTTAGTTAGTTTGAAAGGAGGATACATATGTGCGGCTCTTTAGTATCCCTTCATAATCTAAAGAGAAGATAATTTAGAAGTAATCTATTGTAGTAATCGAAGTAAGGGATATTGACTTCCCAGTAGGACATTCTATAACCAGGAATAACCATATATATAAATAGCCACCACGTACTTCAGGGTTAACACAAACACATTGTTTTAGATTATTTTACTTTAACTAGAAATGTGTTTGTTTATTTTTATTGCATTGTTTTATGTGTATGTGGATTCAACAGCGGGCTTTCTGTTGTCGTTCGGTTTGTTTTGCTTTGTTTCCTTTTGTGGAATGATCACAAAAATACTATTATTTTAAAATTTTTAACAATAGTCGAGAAGTCCTCTTCGTCAACATCAACATCAGTTAATCGATGAAGATGTAGCCCACTTCAAACTCATATGAATACGTATTATGGCTCTGTAACACATTCGTAACTACATACATATTTGCAATTTTATTTCATTTATAAAACTGGAAACATAAAACACAAATCCCTAGAAATACAACTGTATTTAAATTGTATTAACACTATGTAATCTAGACAATACTTTGTCATACAACCCTTATAAAATGTATTTATTACTTAAAACCTCACAGAAGTAAATAAGAAAAAAACATTTGTTAGTGATCGATTTAATTGTAATCATTTTTTCACAAGCCGATTTCTGGAAATTCAAAAGTATCTAAAAATATTTTTTTTTTTAATAATTGTCCATTTACGGACGGATTGTTAAGAGTCATAACAAAGCCGATAAATCTTGTAAGAAAAAATGTATATGTAATAAGTATTGAAAAGAGCTATGTTTTTTTTTGTTACCGTCGGACATAGTTAGGCCATCTAAATGCATATTTTTTGCCCATTACGACCAATATAGTTAAAAACGTTTTAACCAGAAATAACAATCTAGGACTTAAACAAGTATGTATTTATAGTCGGGCATGGGCGATCATATGATACACCAGTGAGTATGTTAAAAATATGGATTATTTAATCTATATATATAATTACCTTAATTGTTTGTTCCCCTTTTATTGACTAGCCAGAGCTTTTTGAAGCTCACAGATGGGCTATCTATCTATCTATCTTTCTATCTATCTATCGATCTATCTAGGCCAAATTCTAACGTAGCCGTATTTTTGAATTTTGGACTGTGGGCGGAGAATTAGAAGGAAAAAGGGGCTTGGCAAAATTCTATTTTTTAACATTTTAGCTTATATTAAAGGCCCATAAAGACATAGGAAAATTGCCTTGCATAAAGTCCTAACACTGGAGCACCGCCTGAAGTAGTCGGATTTAAGATTTATGTACTACGGACGTAGAATTGATAGGAAAAGTGGCGTGGCCAAATTGTGTTTTTACATTTCAGCTAATTTTGATGTCCTCTAAAAACCTAACTTCATTGGTTTTTAGAGAACATAATTGCCAATCATATAATACTGACGTTGGAGCTTAAATTACAACATTTAGAATTAAAATTTTGGGCGTGGAAAATTTCTGTTTTTTACATTTTAACTAATGTAGAAGGTCCTCAATGACCTAGAAATATGAAAATTGACATTGATGTTGCACGGACCAAGAAGAAGATGAACACTGAACTGGATTTTTGATATCCGCTTTTAGGGCGGAGAGGTAAAAGAAACAAGGGATCTGGTATGTGAAAGGAGGGTGTACTCTTACTCTCTGTTTAAACATCCGGTGCCTTTAATAAATAATAAATTATAAAAAACGAATTTTGCAACACTCTCGCCCATAGTGCAATATTCATCTATCAAAAATTTCGACAAATATATAATTATATAATTTGAATAAAAAGATATTGTGGACATAACCTATAAAGTCAGGGCACTATTTCCACAAAATTTCATTGAAATCAGACTCTGGCTTCTACAGCACCAATATAGACAACCGGCTTATTTTGTTTTGAATATTAAACCATGTATACCATAATGTTTTTACTCTTTTGAAAATTTTAAAATGGCTACAAAATATTTAAAGGTGAAGTTTGATCTTAATTAAATTTGGTGGGAATATTACTCGGACCACATTTTGAAGAAAATTTTTTTAATGTTTTATTTATATATATTACTCGGACCACATTTTGAAGACACTATCTGAAGTTATGTATAGAGTGACATTGCACCATGGGACATAGAGTGATTTTGAAATAAAATATATAACAGGCTATAAGCACATATTAACAACTTACAAGTAACGCAAAAATTTTGACAAAATTGTTATCGATACGATCTATATTAAGGTTTGAAAATATTAGTGCAAATAACTAATGATATGCAAAAATAGTATTCAACTAAAATATAGAAAATTTAATTTTCAACAGAAATGTAGTATCATCTGAAGTCGTGGGAATCACAATAAGCTAAATGATTGCAAAAAACTGATTCTGTAACCTTTGACGCCAAATACCTCGCTTAGCATTCATGGGAATAATGGCGACTTTAACTCCTTAATTAAGACTCCGAGACAAATTCCTCTTTGTTTTATAAAGCTATCTAAATTTCCCCAGTTTGCTAATTTTGTTCGACTAACTTTGTTGGGCTTTTAAAACAAAAAATATTAAACAAAATTTTAACTTACAAATTGTTGCACTATTTCGATAATTAATTACTAAGTTTTTTTGTATTGTATTTTAATTTATTATCCTTTGATTTTGTAAATATATATAGTTTTGTTATTTTTTCTTGCCTAGCAGGGATAAGATTAACAGCTAATTTAATAATAAAGCACTTAATTAGTTTTTCCGAAATATTTTTACAATTTGTTTATATGGGTATGGGGTAAGGGTAAATATCCTTATAAATTTTATTAGAGGAATTTACGTCTACTTTAAAGTTTTTGCAGAATTTCATCGCGTTATTAGTGTTTATAAGTGGAAGGAGGTATGGGTGATAGGGTCAAATGAGGCCCGACCATTAAGAAAATCGGCAGTGTAATTTAGACTTTCATAAAACAAAGTTTGGCCGATTTTTGTTGAGATACTAGTACATTTATGGTGTGATGGTGCAGGGTATAATAAACTGTTTATACCCTACACCTTCTATGTTTAACACAATTCACAAATTAAATATAAAACAGCTGCTTTACGATTTAAAATTACCATTTACAAGGAAATCATAGTAAATCTTGCAATTTATTTATGAAAACTTTATTTTATACGTTATATTTAATTGTTGTTAACTTTTCATCAAACAGGTCACGGCGGTGTCAATCAACTGGGTGGAGTTTTTGTCAATGGCAGACCATTGCCTGATGTGGTGCGACAAAGAATTGTTGAATTGGCGCACAATGGTGTGAGACCATGTGATATATCTCGACAATTACGAGTCAGTCATGGCTGTGTATCCAAAATTCTCTCAAGGTAACTACAACATACTTACATACATTTAATAAAATTTTAAATTGATTTCAACAAATTAAGGAGGTATTACACATATTAGGGTCATCTTAAAGACATTTTCATTTTCTTAAGAATTTTCTATATATTAGAATTACTTGTTTAATATTAGGAAATTTAATATTAAACAAGCAAGAAGTCTATATTCGCCTTCGCCTAATCTTATATGGAAATTTTGTTCTTTTACTTATTATACCCTTCAACTTCGTGAGAAGAGTATATATAAGTTTGTCATTCTATTTGTATTTTCCAAAATATAATTTTCCGACCCTATAAAATATATATATATTCTGAATCTTTATAGATAGCGGAGTCTGTCTGTCTGTATGTTTGTTGAAATCAGTTTTTAGAGGACCCCCGATTTCGGCGAGATCCGAATCTTCAACAATTCTATTAGGCATGCTTTCGGGAAGATCGCTATTTAAAATCAGCAAAATCGGTTCATAAATAACGGAGATATGAGCAAAAATCGGAGACAACCTCTGAAAATTTCATAAAAAAGAAAAATTTTTTCATGTTTTGATAAATAAGCAACAACAACAACACTGCTTATTCATTGCGTTGTGTATTTTGCTTTTGTTTTTTTGAGTATTTCGTTTCATATGTTTGGATGGCTGTGTGTTTCATTGCCTTGTGTATATTGTTTTTGTTTCTTGATGTATTCAGTTTCGTATGTTTGGATGAATGTCTGTTGGTTTCATTGCGTTGTGTACTTTGCTTTTGTTTTTTTTTTGTATATTTCGTTTCGTATGTTTGGATGTCTGTTGGTTTTACTGCCTTGTGTATTTTGTTTTTTATACCCTCCACCACCATCAGTGCTGATAGAGGGTATTACAGTGTCTCACATAAGTATTCGAATTTAGGTGTACTTTTAAAAGAAACATAATTTAATAATATTTATCGTATGTAAAATTAATAATTGTCTGGAGAGTCCTAAGGTTTAATATTACACTCCTTAAAATTTGGATAAATTACATTTACTTAAATAAATTTAACTTTTTTTTTGAAAAAAGTCCATAAAATTACCTCACAAAAGTATTCGAATTTTTCTTTATTTTACGAAACACAAAAATTAGAATCGAATGGTCGTTTTGCTTAAAATTATTTTAAGGGGTTACTATCAACCAAAAGGATATATTTTTGGCCCATTTGGCCCACATTTTTGGGGCATTTGTACCAACCATCCGACAAAGTTGGCTAGTATATATAATTGTAGATATTAGGACTAATATATTTTAAATTTTCAAGACATCGTAGCGGTATACAACTCCAAAACATGCCTTAACAAAACGTCATCCCATACAGTAGATTTCAGTTTTTACTACTCATAACATTCACGATTATGTTGCCCATTACAACAACACTGTATGTCCAAAATTTTGGGTTTATTTTGATCATAGTAGATAATATTTAAACAGATATCCATATTTTTGGGTTAGACCATAATGATATGGTGACATTCAGCCTGGAGGCTATCGGTTATAAAAAGAATTATTCCACTATATTGAATGGCGTTTCTTCGAGGCATGCTTTGGAGTTGTACACTTCCACAATATATTGAAAACTTAAAATGTATAACAGCTGATATCTAAAACAATATATAGAAGACAAGTTTCCCCGAAAATTTTTGACCCTAGTATTATAAAAATGGACTTGAGTTCCAATAAATTGAATTAGCTATAGAAAAATGATTCCAATAATATATCTTAAATACAGATTCTTGTAACAAAAAATTTTATTTTTAGATACCCCAAGGGGTATATTAAATCCCAATAACAAATTTTGGTTTTATATCTGGGAAAAAGGAAAAAAAAAATACAAATATTTTAATGACATTACATGAAAAGAAATTGCCCCAAATTGCCCAAATGGGCCAAACATATATCCATTCGGTTGATAGTTACCCCTTAAAACGATTTTTAGCAAAAAAACCATTCGATTCTAATTTTTGTGTTTCGTATAATATAGTCAAATATGAAATACATGAAAAGTTCGTATACTTTTGTGAGGTAATTTTATGGACTAAACTAAATTCGAATACTTATGAGAGACACTGTATAAGTTTGTCATTCCGTGTGTAACACCAAGAAATACTCATCTGAGACCCAACAAAGTATACATGTATATATTCTGGGTCCTTATGAAATTCTGAGTCGATTTAGCTATGTCCGTCCGACCGTCTGTCTGTCTGTGTAAAACACGCTCACGTTAAAACGAAGCAATGGAAATTAACGAAATTCATCCAAAATATTCATTATTATCCGGTACAGTTTGGTATTGGAAATGAGCAAAATCCGTTCACATCGGGAAAAGTTATGAATCAAAATTTAAAACAACTCCGAAAAACACAAGATCTTGATTCCTGCTGAAAATTGCCAGAATCGATTCATAATTTCATATACCTCTAATACAAAAGTACATATTCCCGGAAAATGAGTTTTTTCTTAATAACTTCCGTCAGATTGTTGATATGTTCACAAAATTCTACATATTAAAATCATATGCCAATAGAATTCATTGAGAGAAAAAATTTTCTGGATTGGTCCATAATTGAACATAGCTCCCATACAAGGTCCCCTCCCGAAAATCACTTAAACGCGCATAGCTCATATGCACATAAATATTACTGTGAAAGTTTTTTCCGATCGATCCATAATTGGTCATAGCTCCCATACAAGGTCCCTCCCGAAAATTATTTAAACGCACATAAATCATTGCTAAATTTAGATATCCATATAAAATTTGGTACAAGTACTGCTCTTGCATACAGAAATGTTACTGTGAAATTTTGTTCGGATCGGTCCATAATTGGTCATAGTTCCCATACAAGGTCCCCTCCCGAAAATCACTTAAACGCGCATAACTCATTACTAAATTAAAATATCCATATAAAGTTTGACACAAGTATTGCTCATATACACAGAAATATTACTGTGAAATTGTTTTCCTATCGGTACATAATTGATCATAGCTCCCATGCAAGGTCCCTTTCAGAAAAGCACTTAAAGGCACATAACTCATTACGAAATTGTGATACCCATAAACAATTTGGCATACATACTATTTTTGTACACAGAAATGTTATTTCACGATCGGTTCATCTTTGGTCATAGCTTCCATACAAGGTTCCCTCCCGAAAATCACTTTAACGCACATAACTCATTATAAAATATTGATATCCATACATTTGGCACAAATATTTCTCTTATATACATGAATTACACCATAAAATTGTTTTACGATCGGTCCATATTTGGTCATAGCTCTCATACTAGGTCCCCTCCAGAAAATCACTTAAATGCACAATATTCATTACCAAATAATGATATAGATACAGAATTTTGAAATTTTGTCTTTATATACAAAATTGGTCATAGCTCCCATACAAGGTCCTTTTACGAAAATCTCTTAAAGGCACATTACTCATTACCAAATAAAGCTCTTGATACAAAATTTGCATAAATATTAGTTTTGTATACACAAATTCTATTTCAAGATTTTTTCACGATCGGTTCATAACATGGGTGCGGTCGGTCCCATACATGGTTCCCTTCAGAAAATTATTTAAACACACATTACTTATTACTAAATTACGATATAGATACAAAATTTGACTGAAATATAGCTTTTATGTACAAAAATTTTGCTTACAGAATTTTTATACCCTATACCACTATAGTGGGGAGGGTATTATACGTTTGTGCTGATGTTTGTCCTACACCCACCTTTAAGTATACCGATCACATTTTGAGTCGATTAAGACATGTCCGTCTGTCCGTCCGGCTGGCTGGCTGTCCATGTAAACCTTGTGCGCAAGGTACAGGCCGCAATTTTCAAGATAATTTAATGAAATTTGGACCAAGCATGTTTTTTGGCACAAGGACGAAGCCTATTGAAAATGGTTGAAATCGGTCCATTATTTCACCTAGCCCCCATACAACCGTACCTCCCGATTTGGGCTTTTTATGCCATAATTTCGTCAAATATACTATTATCTCTCTATAAATTGGCACAAATACGTTTTATATAAGTATAAATGACACTGCAGATTTTCGTAATGATCGCCCCTTATTTGACCCTAGCCCCCATACAAATCCCCCTTCAAAAAATGTCTTAAACGTCTAAAATTGACTTGTAACCATTTGTATCGCAATGAAACTCAACATAATTAACTATTATTTAAAAATATAGCCTTTTCCCAAATTTAATGAGGATCGGCCCATGTTTGACCTATACTCCTATATAAAGCCTCATTTAGAAAATTTGGTTTTTATCAATAAATTGCTTAAATACTTTGGAATTAAGGTAAAATTCAACATAAAAGTTTCTTTGTGAAAAATAAAAATTTTTAAAATATACTCATGGTGTAGGGTGTTATATGGTCGGCCATGCCCGAATATACTTTCCTACTTGTTTTAAATTGCGTTTGCAATTTCTGAAACAAAGCGACATCAACCTACTTTGTTGAATGCTGTCAACCAGTGTTGCCATAACGGCATTTCAAATAGAAATCTAGCACTGTGTTTTCGTCGGCTGCACTTATTTTTTTTTTTAGAAAAAAGTGCTAGGTGGTTTTTAGCACTTTTTCGTCTTTTGCTAGAAATTTTTAGCATTAAAATTTAATTTCTCTAAAGAACAGCAAAAATTTTGTTTTGAGATGTTTTGTGAAATTTTAAGGAATTCTAATGAAAACTTTTTGCATATGTTTAATGTAATTTATAATTGAAAAAATATAAATTAACCTAAGAAGTAAATTGTTTTAAATATATTATATAACTAACTAGCTATACCCACTTAACGATTTTGAAGATTCTAACTACAATAGTTTTCCAGATTTACAATATGTTACATATGAGAGATGCTAAGCAAATTATTGCAAGTTCGCCAATTTCTATATATCGCCAATATCTATCTATCTATGAAAAATTTTAATAATCTAAAAGTTTTCAAGATATACGAAATTT